ATTATATGAACGAAGAATCAGGATGGGGGACTAATTAGGGAGCTCTAAAGGGATCAGTGATGGGATCTGTGTCGTTTCTGGTGTAAATTAATTACCTGATTACGAAAATTATCTCTTAAATATTCTCACTATAGGGACCCGTGCTAGGGACGTTCAATAGGGACCCCTGCTAGGAACCTTCTTTAGGTATCCGTGATTGGGACCTTCTCTAAGAATCTCTGCTAGAGACTTTCTCTGTAGATCTTTGCTAGGGACCTTTTCTACGGATCAACTCTAAGAACCTTTGCTATTGACCATCTCTAGAGGCCGAGTTTAGGGACATCTGCTAGGGACCAACACTAAAGCACTATGGATCAACTTGAAAGACCTCTACTGACCAGCTCTAGGGACCTTTCCTAGAGACCTTCTCTAAGGACCAATTTTAGGGACCTTTGCTTTTATGACGCTACTGGATAGTGTTTTAGTGGAAGAGCTAAAGAGCTGATAAGTAAATAAGTAGGCTAATAAAAGTGTATTATTATAATGACGTTTCGCTCAAGGTAAAGTGTATCAAAATAAAGATAATCTGATATCAAGTAAGCTGTATCAAGTCAACCTTAATAACTTGATAAAAATCAAGCGAAGTTATGTCAAGTTGTGTTTCATAAAGATAACCTAATAAAGTTTTTTTTTTTTTATCAAAACGTCGTTATAATAAAGACCAAAGACCCCTACATGCAGTCTTACTGTTGAAAACAACACGAATAGAAAATTTTTAAATTTCAATCGTATCCTCCACCAAAACAAATCTTAACTATCAGTACAAACCCTTGCAAACTATACAGCAGAATGTTTTAACATTTTATAGTGAACAACATTCGGCTCACTCACATGCCAAGGTCACTTCAAGTTACAAATCAGTTTATGAGACGTGTTAAATCAAGCGGGGACGATGTCAGGCGTTCTTGAGCATTACATTAGGCTACACATCGACCATTTCCAACATTTGAGTGTAGACCCTAAGCTATAACATTGGCATTTCCAACGAATAATTCCAGACATTTAGCTACAAATCCACCATGTTTATCACATAATTCCAGACATCAGTCTGAAAACCATGGTGGCTTTCATTCCATCAGTTACGTAAAACTCCAGACCGAAGTAAGATGGATGAATCTTATTGTAGCTAGCTGGCCCAGTGGCTAAGACGTCGGTCTGGAGTTTTACGACTCACCGCCGCGGGTTCAAACCCCACCCGTACCGTGATTCCATCAGTTTGGTAACAAAGTTATGCGTGTATAAGACAATACAGGGGAAAACGATGAGGTGAAGAAAGCGGTGGAGTAGAAGAATGTGGATTAGGAGAATTAAAAGTCACAAAGAAGAGAATGCTGAGAATATGGATATGGAGAAAGAGGACGAGGAGAAGGAAATAAGGAGGATGAGGAGGAGAAGAAGACAGAAGTGCATATAAACTGGTTATAATGGTATATTTCTCAGAACCCGTATCTTCGGTGCTACGACGCATACCGCCCGGTGCGCTTACGTCTTCTTAGTACACGCGACCTGTACGATTTATGAGACACTTGCCATTAAAACGCAACACAAGGAGTGGTGCAAGCCCCGACCCTCACCCCACCTCCTTACCAGCCTTTCTGAGAGACGTTAGGTAAATGAACACAGATGCAACTAATGTGACATTTTACTTTGGCAACGTTTCGCTCTCCAGGAGCTTTTGTCAGAGCGAAACGTTGCGACAATAAAATATCACATTAGTTGCATGTGTCCATTTTGTCGGTAATTCTATCATTATTGCCTTCTGAGAGACTTTAAGCCTACCAGGACGCTCAGATATGCTCTCTTGAGATAAAATAAACATGCTTTCCCACAAAAGTAACTTTCTTCAACCCGTTGTTATGACAGTAACCTTCCCCCCCCCTCACTTCACTCTCATTTTTCCTTCTCTATCTCTCTCTCCCTCTCTCTCTCTCTTCATCTTCCTTCTTTCCCTTCTTCCCCTCTCTTCATCCTCCTGCTCTCTCGTTTGACTCTCAAAACACTAGTACTGCTGTTAATGAAACTCTGCTCACATGATTTGGTCTCGATGTTTCAACTTTGAACTTTTGTAATTTGTTGCTTAGTAATATAATAATAATAATAATAATAATAATAATAATAATAATAATAATAATAATAATAATAATAATATTATTATTATTATTATTATTATTATTATTATTATTATTATTATTATTATTATTATTATTATTGCAGAAGGCTGGGAAAGAGAGGTCATCCACAGGTACTACCATCCTGTTGTATCAGTGAACAACACAAATTTCTTATAAACTTTCTGCACACTGACAGGATTGATGTTCTTTATATTCCATTTCATGAACATTGAAGGTGACAGGTCAACCCTAACTTTTACTTGAATTATGTCTTCTTATATGTTTTTAATTGTTCTTAATGCTACAACATTCATGTTCCATATTCCTGGTTAAGAATGGGGAAAAAATCCATTCTTTATAGAAGAGATGAAAAGGAACTGTTTGTTGACGTTGTAGTTGAAACGAAGTTAGTTGTATGAGAGCTTAGAAGTTGTGGGAGAGTTTCAATGGTAAGGAATTGTATAGTGAGAGTTAAGGCGCTTCGGTGGTTACTTGAAATGAACGATGGGGCAAAGTAAATAACGGGTATAATTGTTTTATATTCTAAAAGATGTTTCGTTTATAATTCTAAATAGGAAGTGGGACAATAGAAGGGGATTATAATGAAATTTTTATGAATTTTAATGGAGATTTTGGGCGGTACGGTTGGTTAATAGGATATAAAATCTACCGATTAGACTAGGGGTCTTAAGGTTGCACGTAACTTGTTTTACATCAAACAAGAATACTTTAAATCCTAAAATAGGGATTAAAGTAAAGTCCTTGGTCATCTGACCGAGACCTTTTACTGGCTTGGGAAATATTAAGGTAAATGAGCGAATAATTGTTTTAATTAGACATTTGTGCAAAAAACCTTTCCAAATATGTCAAATTTCTGACATAACCCGTGTCTTCTTTTTCAGAAGCTACTAAAATTTGAGTAAGTGTCGTCCATGGAGGACACTGTAAATCTTCAAGGGGATATACACCATGTTTTCCAATGGGCCGGGGAAAATAATGTGATGTTCAGTGAGAACAAATTTCAGTTACTCGGTTATGGAAAACATAAGGAAATACTAATAATAGCTTGAATGGAGTATATAACAAATTCTAACCACAGAATCAATCGGAAAACTAATATGAAGGACTTGGGAGTAATAATGTCAGAGGATCTCACCTTCAAAGATCACAACAGAGTCACTATCACATCTACGAGGAAAATGATGGGATGGATAATGAGAACTTTCAAAATAATGGATGCCAAGCCAATTATTATCCTCTCTAGGCTGGAATATTGTTGTGCACTATCAGCCTCATTCAAGGGAGGTGAAATTGCAAATCTAGATAATATACAGAGAACCTTCACTGCACGTATTAGTTCAGTTAAGCACCTTAATTACTAGAAACTTTTAAAGTCCCTTGAGCTGTACTCCTTGGAACACAGGCGGGAAAGATACACCATAATCTACACCTGGAAAATCCTTGAGGGACTAGTCCCACATCTGCACACAAATCACTCCTCACGGAAACAAAAGACAAGGCAGACGATGCAACATACCCTCAATAAAAAGCAGGGGTACCATGAGTACTCTAATTATCTGGAGCCCAAGACTGCTCAACAGCCTCTCATCATACATAAGAGGAATTACCAATAGACCCCTGGCTGTCTTCAAGAGGGACCTGAACAGACACCTATAGTCAGTGTCCGATCAACCGGGCTGTGATTCGTACGCTGGATTGCATGTGGTCAGCATTAGCAGCCTGATTGATCAGGCCCTGATCCACCGGAGGCCTGGTCGTGGACCAGGCCGTGGAGGCGTTGACCCCCGGAATAATCTCCGGGTAGATTCCAGGTAGAATGTTGTTAAATGTGTTATCGGATAATAAAATGAAGCTCTCTTGCCAGCAGCCTATCGAAGGCCAGCCTGAATTTGGCTAGTTTTACTTAATATCAATGAAATACAATAATTTCGTTATTCTCGTATTGGTTATCGAGGAGTTATAGCAAAAATATATATATACGCTCACCCTATTTGAAAAAAAAAAAAATTGTTGCTTTATAAGTCAAATCGGCAAATTTGGCTAAAAAAAAAAAAAGACATTAATATTTTCACGGAAATGTTTGGTTACGTAACGAGAGTTCCTACTACTACAGTTGTTTTATGCGACCCGTGACGTCAGTTGGATCAGAATGTTTCCCACTATAACACTGCTCGTCTCAAGTCCTTCCATCTTCCAGGTAGCAAGGTACGCCTCTCATCCTCAAGCTAAACACTAGCTTAACAATGTTTTAATCTCATATATATATATATATATATATATATATATATATATATATAATATTATATATATATATATATATATATATATATATATATATATATATATATATATATATATAGATATATATATATATATATATATATATATATATATATATATATATATATATATATATATATAATATATATATATATATATATATATATATATATATATATAATATATATATATAGTCTTTTCACCAAGTTCCCAACAAGAGCATGATGGTCACTCACAGAGATAAAAGCTCAGTTACAAAGTCCAACCATTTAAGTGCCTGGAATTACTACTGCTGGGTGTTATATGTAGGAGTGTTTATGTCCTTCGGCTGGCTAGATATTTCTAAATCAATTGGGGGTTTTACCCGAAGCCGGAGGGTATACTGCTACGCTCCGGAAACTAGCTTAAACTCAATTACAAACTAATCTATCCTTAATTAAAAAGTCAGAAATATTCTCTAATTACGAACGGCGTTTAGCAGATAATAAATTCGTGCCACGCTGTAAAAGCTAAATCAATTTTAACACAGCAAAGCAAGAGGCTGAGAAAGTTTGGATGAGCGTGGCAAGCTGGTGGTGCCGACCAGTGGTAGAGCTCCACAACACTGGCATATAAAGAGAGACAGTAGGACTCTCACCTGGTGTGGTGCTCACCTCAGGTACACACATCACTCGCCCTGCGTCTTGTGTCTTGTGCTCCTGCAAGAAAGAAGGAAGTCTTGGTGATATTGGTGATATTGAAAAACTCTTGATCGCAGAAATCAGAGCTGCTCTTTCCCTCCTGGGATCAAATTTGATTAACTTGAATTCTCCTGAAAATAATAATAATAATAATAATAATAATAATAATAATAATAATAATAATAATAATAATAATAATAATAATAATAATCTGACTCTCGAATACAATTTTAAATTTAATCTTATTTTTTCGCTGAAGAATTAATAAGTAGGGAAAGAAATGCAGCGAAATATTATTGATAATTTTGAAATTTCGATGATATTTAAAACCGTTCTTAATGTGAGCCATGACGAGTGACTAATGAGAAGTGAATCTTAGTGAAGGTCGAAACTTTATTATTGCTGAGTCATACACAACTTGATGAGGAACGTGTCTCAGTACTGACGAACGTGTCTCACTACTGAGTACTGAGGAACGTGTCTCACTACCGAGTACTGAGGAACGTGTCTCACTACTGAGTACTGAGGAACGTGTCTCACTACCGAGTACTGAGGAAACGTGTCTCACAATGAGTACTGAGGAACGTGTCTCACTACCGAGTACTGAGGAACGTGTCTCACTACCGAGTACTGAGGAACGTGTCTCACTACCGAGTACTGAGGAACGTGTCTCACTACTGAGTACTGAGGAACGTGTCTCACTACCGAGTACTGAGGAACGTGTCTCACTACTGAGTACTGAGGAACGTGTCTCACTACTGAGTACTGAGGAACGTGTCTCAGTACTGAGGAAACGTGCTCAGTACTGACGAACGTGTCTCACTACTGAGTACTGAGGAACGTGTCTCACTACCGAATACTGAGGAACGTGTCTCACTACTGAGTACTGAGGAACGTGTCGCACTACTGAGTACTGAGGAACGTGTCTCAGTACTGAGGAACGTGTCTCAGTACTGACGAACGTGTCTCACTACTGAGTACTGAGGAACGTGTCTCACTACCGAATACTGAGGAACGTGTCTCACTACCGAGTACTGAGGAAACGTGGTCTCACTACTGAGTACTGAGGAACGTGTCTCACTACTGGTACTGAGGAACGTGTCTCAGTACTGAGGAACGTGTCTCAGTACTGACGAACGTGTCTCACTACTGAGTACTGAGGAACGTGTCTCACTACCGAATACTGAGGAACGTGTCTCACTACTGAGTACTGAGGAACGTGTCTCACTACCGAATACTGAGGAACGTGTCTCACTACTGAGTACTGAGGAACGTGTCTCAGTACTGAGGAACGTGTCTCACTACTGAGTACTGACGAATGTGTCTCAGTACTGAGGAACGTGTCTCACTACTGAGTACTGAGGAACGTGTCTCACTACTGAGTACTGAGAAACGTGTCTCGCTATTGAGTACCGAGGAACGTGTCTCACTACTGAATACTGACGAACGTGTCTCACTACTGAGTACTGAGGAACGTGTCTCAGTACTGAGGAACGTGTCTCACTACTGAGTACTGAGGAACGTGTCTCACTACTGAGTACTGAGGAACGTGTCTCAGTACAGAGGAACGTGTCTCACTACTGAGTACTGAAGAACGTGTCTCAGTACTGAGGAACGTGTCTCACTACTGAGGAACGTGTCTCACTACTGAGTACTGAGGAACGTGTCTCAGTACTGAGGAACGTGTACTCTACTACTGCAAGATTACTGAGAACGTGTCTCATACTGAGTACTGAGAAACGTGTCTCACTAATGAGTACTGAGGAACGTATCTCACTACCGATTGCTGAAGAACGTGTCTTACTACCGAGAAGTGATGAACGTTCCTAAATGCCAAATACTGAGGAATGTGTCTCACTACTGAGTACTGAGAAACGTGTCTCACTATTGAGTACCGAGGAACGTGTCTCACTACTGAATACTGAGGAACGTGTCTCACTACTGAGAACTGAGAAACGTGTCTCACTATTGAATACCGAGGAACGTGTCTCACTACCTAGTACTGAGGAACGTGTCTCACTACCGAGTACTGAGCAACGTGTCTCACTACCGAGTACTGAGGAACGTGTCTCACTACTGAGTACTGAGGAACGTGTCTCACTACCGAGTGCTGAGGAACGTGTCTCTACCGAGTACTGAGGAACGTGTCTCACTACTGAGTACTGGGGAACGTGTCTCACTACTGAGTACCGAGGAACGTGTCTCACTACTGAGTACTGAGAAACGTGTCTCACTGCCGAGTACTGAGGAACGTGCCTCACTACCGAGTACTGAGGAACGTGTCTCACTACCGAGTACTGAGGAACTTGTCTCACTTCCGAGTACTGAGGAACGTGTCTCACTACCGAGTACTGAGGAACGTGTCTCACTACTGAGTACTGAAGGACGTGTCTCACTACCGAGTACTGAGGAACGTGTCTCACTACTGAGTACTGAGGAACGTGTCTCACTACTGAGTACTGATGAACGTGTCTCACTACCGAGTACTGAGGAACGTGTCTCACTACCGAGTACCGAGGAACGTGTCTCACTACCGAGTACTGAGGAACGTGTCTCACTACTGAGTACTGAGGAACGTGTCTCACTACTGAGTACTGAGGAACGCGTCTTACTACCGAGTACTGAGGAACGTGTCTCACTGAGTACTGGGGAACGTGTCTCACTACTGAGTACTGAGGAACGTGTCTCACTATCGAGTACTGAGGAACGTGTCTCACTACCGAGTACTGAGGAACGTGTCTCACTACCGAGTACTGAGGAACGTTTCTCACTACTGAGTACTGGGGAACGTGTCTCACTGAGTACCGAGGAACGTGTCTCACTGCTGAGTACCGAGGAACGTGTCTCACTACTGAGTACTGAAAAACGTGTCTCATTACCGAGTACTGAGGAACGTGTCTCACTACAGAGTACTGAGGAACGTGTCTCACTACCGAGTACTGAGGAACGTGTCTCACTACTGAGTACTGAGGAACGTGTCTCACTACTGAGTACCGAGGAACGTGTCTCACTACCGAGTACTGAGGAACGTGTCTCACTTCCGAATACTGAGGAACGTGTCTCACTACCGAGTACTGAGGAACTTGTGTCACTACTGAGTACTGAGGAACGTGTCTCACTACCGAGTACTGAGGAATGTGTCTCACTACCGAGTACTGAGGAACGTGTCTCACTACCGAGCACTGAGAAACGTGTCTCACTACCGAATACTGAGGAATGTGCCTCAAGACTGAGTATGAGGAACGTGTCTCACTACGAGTACTGAGGAACGTGTCTCACTACCGAGTACTGAGGAACGTTTCTCACTACTGAGTACTGGGGAACGTGTCTCACTACTGAGTACCGAGGAACGTGTCTCATTGCTGAGTACCGAGGAATGTGTCTCACTACTGAGTACTGAGAAACGTGTCTCACTACCGAGTACTGAGGAACGTGTCTCACTACAGAGTACTGAGGAACGTGTCTCACTACAGAGTACTGAGGAACGTGTCTCACTACTGAATACTGAGGAACGTGTCTCACTACTGAGTACCGAGGAACGTGTCTCACTACCGAGTACTGAGGAACGTGTCTCACTTCCGAATACTGAGGAACGTGTCTCACTACCGAGTACTGAGGAACTTGTCTCACTACTGAGTACTGAGGAACGTATCTCACTACCGAGTACTGAGGAACGTGTCTCACTACCGAGTACTGAGGAACGTGTCTCACTACCGAGCACTGAGAAACGTGTCTCACTACCGAATACTGAGGAACGTGCCTCAAGACTGAGTACTGAGGAACGTGTCTCACTACGAGTACTGAGGACGTGTCTCACTGCCGAGTACTGGGAGCGTGTCTCACTACCGAGTACTGGGGAACGTGTCTCACTACCGAGTACTGAGGAACGTGTCTCACTACCGAGTACTGGGGAACGTGTCTCACTACCGAGTACTGGGGAACGTGTCTCACTACCGAGTACTGAGGAATGTTGCTCTCTACTGAGTACTGGGGAACGTGTCTCACTACCGAGTTACTGAGGGAACGTGTCTCACTACCAGCTGAGTATGAGGAACGTGTCTCACTGCCGGTACTGGGGAACGTGTCTCACTACCGAGTACTGAGGAACGTGTTCACTACCGAGTACTGAGGAACGTGTCTCACTACTGAGTACTGAGGAACGTGTCTCACTACCGAGTACTGAGGAATGTCTCACTACTGAGTACTGGGGAACGTGTCTCACTACCGAGTACTGAGGAACGTGTCTCACTACAGAGTACTGAGGAACGTGTCTCACTACCGAGTACTGAGGAACGTGTCTCACTACTGAGTACTGAGGAACGTGTCTCACTACTGAGTACCGAGGAACGTGTCTCACTACCGAGTACTGAGGAACGTGTCTCACTTCCGAATACTGAGGAACGTGTCTCACTACCGAGTACTGAGGAACTTGTGTCACTACTGAGTACTGAGGAACGTGTCTCACTACCGAGTACTGAGGAATGTGTCTCACTACCGAGTACTGAGGAACGTGTCTCACTACCGAGCACTGAGAAACGTGTCTCACTACCGAATACTGAGGAATGTGCCTCAAGACTGAGTACTGAGGAACGTGTCTCACTACCGAGTACTGAGGAACGTGTCTCACTACCGAGTACTGAGGAACGTTTCTCACTACTGAGTACTGGGGAACGTGTCTCACTACTGAGTACCGAGGAACGTGTCTCATTGCTGAGTACCGAGGAATGTGTCTCACTACTGAGTACTGAGAAACGTGTCTCACTACCGAGTACTGAGGAACGTGTCTCACTACAGAGTACTGAGGAACGTGTCTCACTACAGAGTACTGAGGAACGTGTCTCACTACTGAATACTGAGGAACGTGTCTCACTACTGAGTACCGAGGAACGTGTCTCACTACCGAGTACTGAGGAACGTGTCTCACTTCCGAATACTGAGGAACGTGTCTCACTACCGAGTACTGAGGAACTTGTCTCACTACTGAGTACTGAGGAACGTATCTCACTACCGAGTACTGAGGAACGTGTCTCACTACCGAGTACTGAGGAACGTGTCTCACTACCGAGCACTGAGAAACGTGTCTCACTACCGAATACTGAGGAACGTGCCTCAAGACTGAGTACTGAGGAACGTGTCTCACTACCGAGTACTGAGGAACGTGTCTCACTGCCGAGTACTGGGGAGCGTGTCTCACTACCGAGTACTGGGGAACGTGTCTCACTACCGAGTACTGAGGAACGTGTCTCACTACCGAGTACTGGGGAACGTGTCTCACTACCGAGTACTGGGGAACGTGTCTCACTACCGAGTACTGAGGAATGTGTCTCACTACTGAGTACTGGGGAACGTGTCTCACTACCGAGTACTGAGGAACGTGTCTCACTACCGAGTACTGAGGAACGTGTCTCACTGCCGAGTACTGGGGAACGTGTCTCACTACCGAGTACTGAGGAACGTGTCTCACTACCGAGTACTGAGGAACGTGTCTCACTACTGAGTACTGAGGAACGTGTCTCACTACCGAGTACTGAGGAATGTCTCACTACTGAGTACTGGGGAACGTGTCTCACTACCGAGTACTGAGGAACGTGTCTCACTACCGAGTACTGAGGAATGTGTCTCACTACTGAGTACTGGGGAACGTGTCTCACTCCCGTGTACTTATTCGTGATAATCAACGTTTGTTTTTAGTCAGAGCTTCGTAAAATAGTGACTTTCTTACACTTAATGAAGTCACTTTATGGCTTGATAAAGTGTTTTGATAAGACATTACTGTGAGCGAGACGTTGTCAGGACACAAGCCTGCACATTACTGTGAGCGAGACGTTGTCAGGACACAAGCCTGCACATTACTGTGAGCGAGACGTTGTCAGGACACAAGCCGACACCTGTGTTGAGGTAAAACCGTGAAAGTTTAGATTACAACGACTTCCAGAGTCTGAAGACAAAACTCACGGGAACCTGGGAAGAAAATGCTGTGATGCAGGAACGGAGTAATAAATAGCAGCAGGATAACGAGGGAATAAACGAAGAAGAAAGAAGATAGTGAGAATACTTGTTACATTAGTGGAAGTATTCTAAGAGATGCTCGCGAAGGGCTCTTAATCCAAGGCATTGCAGTAAACTTCCCCTTAAATAGATCTAACCTCACTACCTCTCGTTTTCTAGCTGCGGTGTGAGACTCATGGGTTTAGCATATTCCCGTCAATTTAATAATAATAATTATAATAATAATAATAATAATAATAATAATAATAATAATAATAATAATAGTGGTTTCTTTCCCAGGAGATGAATAACGTTGTAATTATGCAGTTAATAAAAAAGGAATAGCTTATTTTGCAGGCACTCAGAGCAATAAAGATATAATAATATAGGAATTATTTACATGATGTATGACTCATGATAAAGACTTGTTTAGACATGATAAAGTTCACTGCTGAGCCAAGCGTCGTCTGTCATAAAAGGTTTCCCTGCCTTAGCATGTTTGACTCAGGACCTTCATCCAGCACTCAGCAGGAGTTGATACCATGACTCTCACTGTTTATTTCTTTGCAGACTGTTGAATATGTTGATGGCGCTGAGAATGGCTGTCAGGAGGAGCTCCAGGATGCTGGCAGCTATGGTGATCATGGTAGCAACTGGAGCAAGTCAAGCTTATTATTCCTCTGCATCTTCCATCAAAGGTACCCCACAAATAGTTTGGAAAAAAGAGATACATGTGTAGAACAACCATTTATTAAAAGAAAATTAGTAATGTGCAAGGTGTAAGTAACTTATGTTTCGCCACAAACAGCGCTCTCCTTCAACTGTCGTCCCACTATGTCCTGCCGAATAGGTAAAAATTTATCAATTATCAGGAACTCATTTAAAATTAATTCCTTTGTAAAATTTTCTCCTTCGTTTAAAGATATATTTTTTTAATTTATGTTAATGTAAAAATTAATAATTTTATACCAAAAGAACCTTAGAAAACTTACTTAACCTTATTATAACAAGCGCAATTTAATTTAGCCTAATCAAACTAAATATATTTTAGATAAGTTTACAATAATTTAATAATAAACAAACACTGTAAAATATTTTTTTTTCGTTAGGTTCAGAATGATTCTTGCGAAATTATTGCATACACAAATTTTCACTTGCCTTATTCGGCACCACATTAACATAAATGAAAAAATATATATCTTTAAACCTATGAGAATTTTTTTTAGAAAGGATTTAATTTTAAACGAGTTCTTGCTAGTTGACCAATTTTACCTATTGGGTAAGACATATATATATATATATATATATATATATATATATATATATATATATATATATATATATATATATATATATATATATATATATATATATTATTATATATATATATATATATATATATATATATATATATATATATATATATATATATATATATATATATATATATATATATATATAATGTATATATATACATGAATACATTGGTACAATATATCATAGATTACGAATCTTCTTCAGCAGTTCTGAATATTAATTAATTTATATAAAACATTTACATTAAAATGTTAAAAATAATATTTAGTGCATGAATAGAAACCTTCAGCTCAATAGAATACTGTCTTGCAAATTATTAACCCTGGCGATTAGTTTCTAGTTTTTTTTTTTTTTTTTTAGTATCTCACATTATAATAATTACACTTTAATTACACATTCCCTTCCTTTGAACAGTGATTTATCTACTCTAGCTGTAATGCTACAATAATTGAATATGTCTGTGGTTGATGGTGAATAAAATTTTAGAGTTGAACTGTAGGGACTAATACCAAACTTGCACACGAAAATCACTCTCTCCGAAAGCGAAAGACTCGGCAGACGATGCAACATCCCCCCAATGAAAAGTAGGGTTGATGAAATTAAGACACATGTGCAACATCTGGGTATCTTTATTGTAGACGTTTCGCCATCCAGTGGCTTTATCAATACAAATTCTAGGACATAACTTGAAGACAGTAGAAATATGTACAGAAGATGAGGTAATCAGTCCCTCAACCTAGGAGTAGGTGCGAAGAGCACCATAGTCGTGGAGATTCTGAAGCTACACCTGACGTTACTATATAAGCGCCAGGCTCCTTTCTTCTGCTTCAGAATCTCCACGACTATGGTGCTCTTCGCACCTACTCCTAGGTTGAGGGACTGATTACCTCATCTTCTGTACATATTTCTACTGTCTTCAAGTTATGTCCTAGAATTTGTATTGATAAAGCCACTGGATGGCGAAACGTCTACAATAAAGATACCCAGATGTTGCACATGTGTCTTAATTTCATCTTGTCGGTATTATATACCATTCTTACACAACACGAAAAGTGGGGTTGTCACTAGCACGCTAAGAGACAACACAATAAGTGTCAGGGGCCCAAGACTGTTCAACTGCCTCCCAGCATACATAAGGGGGATTACCAATAGACCCCTGGCTGTCTTCAAGTAGGCACTGGACAGGCACCTAAAGTCGGTACCTGACCAGCCGGGCTGTGGCTCGTACGTTGGATTGCGTGCAGCCATCAGTAACAGCCTGGTTGATCAGGCCCTGTTCCACCATGAGGCCTGGTCACAGACCGGGCGGCGGGGTAAACTCCAGGTAAACAGTACGTGTCTTCACTGACACCATAATATCACCTGACTGCTTCAACACATCGTTTTTCTAGAAACTCCCGACAAATAGCTAGATAAGGTTGATTAGTGCACATTTGGCTACCTAAAGAAGGGAAGATGTATGGACAAGTGTCCCATACATCTTCCATATTATCAACATTGCTGTAATATTTTGGAAGAGGCGGATGCGTGCTATTTCCCTGCTATCTTTGACTTCGGTTGGAGAACGGATGTTGATATAAATAGCACGTAAACAAGCACACTTATGCACATTTTAAGACATTAATTGAAGAAACCTTTTGCCACAGTTTGCTTCTTCAGGTCTAAGTGTTCCGAACTGTGCATAGGTGTCTTTGTCGACACTGACTTCGGTTAGGCCAAAGGGTGTACTGTGAACAATTACTTTCTGTTAAACTAAATATGACATCATTCCTCACGCACGTATCATACAAAATAAGAGTTATACAGACAATTCAGACATGTATTGAAGAGTAAGATATAGAAATCTGCGATCTCACAGTCTTACTGGTAACAGACGTCAAAGTTGTCACGTCTCCCACAACATTTTATATATTGATTTTCTTCTTCACTATTTCCTTAAATACATTGATCTTTAGCATATGTTTATTTGGTACAGGTTTGGTGAGTTCCTACAGGTTTAATACAGAGTTTATATCACTTGATACACATCGCTGCATCCATCTCACTCGTACACCGACGCTAACAACTCCACACGCTATAAATGCTTTAACAACTAACAAAGTCATATAAACTATAGCAAATCTTTTTTCTATTTTAAAAGCAAGTTGCTTAGAAGATTTGAAAGTGTTTGGAATGTAACACTATTTTTCCCGCAGGTTCTTTAACTCACATAAAGCTTTGGACGCTAATTTTCAGAAAGATTTACTAAATGACTCACGAAATCGTAATGACACGATTGCAAACAAACCGTAAGAGTGGGGATTAAATTTGCGGTGAGTGAGTCGTAAAACTCCAGACCGACGCGTAAGCCATTGGGCCAGCGGGCTCCAATAAGATTCATCCAACTAAGTATATTTATACATCATAGGAAGGTTAGCATGGGCCTCACTGTGACCACAAATGCAAGGTTTTACAGATGAATCTCCCGTCAGCGTGGCCGTAACGAACTCTAGCTCAAGTCCCATCAAAGCCATCATCATGACTCACAAAATAGTAATAACACAATTGCAAACAAACAACGGTACTGCGGGAACTGGGAAATACAAGAGAAGGATGACGAAGTTAACCCAATGTGTTGCAGATCTTTTCCCTCATTCGACATCTCTTCATAGGTGTCGGATGAGGTGGAAATTTAATTGAAGTATTCAAAAGGAAGACAGTTATAAATATAAAAATAATTAACAGAGGTGAAATAAAACGTGTGCATTGTTAGAATATTTTACTGAGGAAACGTTTTGCCAAGAAGTCATGAAGACGCCATATATAACAAAGTGTTCTCTTAATAAAATATCTTAACTCTGTATGTGTGTCTTATTTCACGATTGATGGCACAGTATACCAACTCGAACTCGAGGATGCTGAGAAGAGTTAAATATGAAAGGTAGTAGTTTCACGTTGGGAAGATTAAGATTTAGAATGCATGAACTGGCTTAGCAATAGAGTTGTGGATGAATGAAGCGATCAGCCAAGTAGTGCCATTAAACAGGATCGTTACTGGAGAAACGTATTGCCTTCACAGCAGGCTTTATTATGAATATAATAAGGGATGGATGTGAGGTTGTCTTGCCTAAGATGGGCCAGTAGCTTAAAAATGGCACCTCACCTCACCGCTCTGGCTGCTACATATCCCTCTCCATCACTTACCAAGTTTATGTTATTGACATAATGAAGCCTTCTGTGTGGGCGAAACTGTGTTAGTGAGGATCCCATGTAACTACATTCGTGTTTCCTTACCCTCATATCGGTATCTAATGCCATCACCCATCCGGATATTGTGTAAATTCGGTAGATCTACCGTTGTTCTCCTTTTGACTTATTCTCCTCTCATATTGTTTATACCTACAGCTTGTAGTGCACCCGGAGAAGTGTGTGTGCCACTGACGTCTTGTCCTACCTTGCTAGCCATCACCAAGAACCCTCACCCTTCCTGGGAAGCTCTCAGGAAACTCAGGCATGCTGTTTGTGGGAAGGATATGAAGAACGTGAAGGTAGGGAGAGAGAGAGAGAGAAAGAGAGAGAGAGAGAGAGAGAGAGAGAGAGAGAGAGAGAGAGAGAGAGAGAGAGAGAGAGAGAGAGAGAGAGAGAGAGAGAGAGAGAGAGAATGTTAATAAAGATTATTTTTTTTAACTAGTGACATACTAGCAAAAGACAATCTCTGCTTTTCTAGACAGAGCACAAGCAAACTCACCCGAAGACAATAAATGATGAGTATTGTTTATTTCAGCTATATACAGAAGCCTTCGTTAACAAACAACAGCGTGAGGCAAAAAGCATATTCATCTTATCCTTTGGTGTAGCGTTTATCCGTGTCACTTTCCTCAGCCTAAATATGATACCCTTTTGTGTATTGTAGGTTTGCTGTAACCAGTTAGCCAGTCCACCGCCAACGAGTGCCCCGACCACAACCTGGAGACCGCTTCCACCCGTCCAGCCTCCGTCTTCTCATATTTTGCCTTCCCACTGCGGCGTACCATCCATAACGGAAGGAGTTCGAGTATTTTTTGGGGAAAACGCTCGTCTGGGCGCCTATCCGTGGATCGCTACTCTTGGATATCGAAGTGAGTGTCTTAATCTTTCTGTAAATATAACGATGTATTCTCTTAGGCCAAAGAACCAGCAAGAATTGGGATGGGGAGGGTAAGGAGAGGGAAGGACAGGTAGAGAAGCGAAAATGATTGTAGGTAAATAGGAAGAGATGGGTAAAAAAGAAACATGGTCCATTCGCTTTGGGCTGTTGTTTAAAGAGCGTTTTCGATATAATTTAATGAACAAATAAAGCTGTACTATCCTTTACATTAGCCACTCACTAACCACATTAAATACTCGCCTAGTTGTGGTTGCTGGGTCATGTCTGGGCTCTTGGCTTTGTAGAACTGGAACTAAACTGCGAGGAAATCAGGATGTAACTTAAGATCATGACTTGAGCGTCAAAAACTGCACAAAGATGTAGAAAACTTTACAACTTGAACAAATAAATTATAAATCAATCAGTAATCTCTGTTGATAAAAGCAAAGTAATACGTACATGTAAGAACTAAAACATACTTGTAATAAGCTATATATATACTGATAACAATACATCCCAGTAGCAAGTAATACGTGCTGGTAACAAACAAAACAAACTAGCAACAGGTAATACATACTGGCAACAGGCAATACATGCTGGCAACAGGTAATATATTCTGGTAACAAGCAATACATACTGGCAACAGGCAATACATAGTGGCAACAGGTAATACATACTGGCAACAGGTAATACATACTGGTAACAAGCAATACATACTGGCAACAGGCAATACATAGTGGCAACAGGTAATACATACTGGCAACAGGTAATACATACTGGTAACAAGCAATACATACTGGCAACAGGTAATACATACTGGTAACAAGCAATACATACTGGCAACAGGTAATACATACTGGTAACAAGCAATACATACTGGCAACAGGCAATACATACTGGCAACAGGTAATACATACTGGTAACAGGTAATACATACTGGCAACAGGTAATACATACTGGTAACAAGCAATACATACTGGCAACAGGTAATACATACTGGTAACAAGCAATACATACTGGCAACAGGCAATACATACTGGCAACAGGCAATACATACTGGCAACAGGCAATACATACTGGCAACAGGCAATACATACTGGCAACAGGCAATACATACTGGCAACAAGCAAAATGTATGAACAAGATTGTAAATGGTGTTAAATGCCGACAAGTACTTAAGATTCAAAAGTGGTATTAGAAGATTGAAGGGGATGTGTCGTCCACCAGGGACTTCAGTAATCAAATATGGAGAAATGAAGCATACGGAGCATATGTAAGTCCAAGACCAGGTGTTGTATGTGAGGGTGGAAGCTTTGTGATATGTTGTGCAGTGTGGACAGGATGAGCCGGCCAACAGTCACTGAAATCATAAAACTGCCAGAGCACATTTAAAATAGCTCCCGTAGCGGTGACCACTTTCTCTGATAAATAATTAGAGCCTTTCAAGTACTTGAGATTGTTGTGGTAGTTTCGGTGTACAGTGCAGCTATTGTTTAAATTGTGTCAGTGACACGCTCGCTGGTGATGGCGGGTGTGTTGTTCCACGCTTTTAGTTTTTCTTTTTTTCATTATTTCCAGTGTTAGCTGGATTAGGTTTGCCTAATCTGCAGGCATGACTCACACTAGTGTTTTTTCCACTGGTGACTCCGCCTACTGCTGCTTCAACTTACCTGTCTACAGTTTATAAACCATTTCTTCGCGTATATGCTGTACTTTTCTCAATATTAATGGACTGAAGACATCGACTCCAGACTGAGAGACTGACCACCTCAAACTCCTTATCTCCCACCGCTCTTCTCTGAACTGATAAATTAGACATACGTGCAACACTTGAGCATCTTTATTGAGGAAACTTTTCACCATACAATGGCTTCATTAGTCCACACAAAGGAGAATCGTGAAGAACAGGTTATCAGTCCCTCAGCCTTGAGTCGATGTAATAACTCCTACGACTGTGTGATACCACCTACGACTGCTTCACCTCACCTGTCTACAGTATATAAGCCACTTCTTCGCACATGTGCTGTATTCTTTTCAAGATTGATGGAGTAATTACATGACTCAAGGCTGAGGGACTGATAACCTCAAATTCCTCCTGTTCTTCACCATTCTTCTTAGTATGGACTGATGAAGCCACTGTGTGGCGAAACGTTTCCACATTAAAGATTAACAAATGTTGCACATGTGTCTCATTCTTCAACTTGTCAGTTTTCTAAACCATTTACATCAAATATAACATTGCCAGCTGGGGTATAACATTACCAGCTGGGGAATAACATTACCAGCTGGGGTATAACATTACCAGCTGGGGGTATAACATTACCAGCTGGGGAATAACATTACCAGCTGGGGTATAACATTACCAGCTGAGGAATAACATTACCAGCTGGGGTATAACATTACCAGCTGGGGAATAACATTACCTGCTGAGGAATAACATTACCAGCTGGGATATAACATTACTAGCTGGGATATAACATTACCAGATAGGATATAACATTACCAGCTGGGATATAACATTACCAGCTGGGGTATAATGTAACTATTCTCCGTCTCTGGTCCTTTATAGTGTAGATGTTAAATGGTAAGATATATTTAGTATATGATTCAGTGGGAAGACCTCAGTCGTCTTACCACTGACTCACTCACATCGGATATGGGGATTTCTGTATATTTTATACTGATCTCATGTCTAAAAAAACAGTAGAAGAGAAATGTGGAAGATACAAGTGAGTGTGGATGATACAAGTGGGTGTGGATGATACAGGTGGGCGTGGATGATACAGGTGGGTTTAGAGGATACAGGTGAGTGTGGATGATGCAGGTGGGTGTGGATGATACAGGTGGGCGTAGAGGATACAGGTGGGTGTGGATGATGCAGGTGGGTGTGGATGATACAGGTGGATGTGGAAGATACAGGTGGGTGTGGATGATAAAGGTGAATTTGGAGGATATAGGTGGGTGTGGATGATACAGGTGGGTGTGGATGATGCAGGTGGGCGTAGAGGATACAGGTGGGTGTGGATGATGCAGGTAGGTGTGGATAATACAGGTGGGTGTGGATGATACAGGTGGGTGTGGATGATACAGGTGGGGTGGATGATTAAAGGTGGGGGTGGATGATACAGGTGGGTGTGGATGATACAGGTGGGTGTGGATGATACAGGTGGGGGTGGATGATACAAGTGGGGGTGGATGATACAGGTGAGGGTGGATGATACAGGTGGGTGTGGAGGATACAGGTGGGTGTGGAGGATACAGGTGGGTGTGGATGATGCAGGTGGGTGTGGAGGATACAACTGGGTGTGGATGATACAGCTGGGTGTGGATGATACAGCTGGGTGTGGATGATACAGCTGGGTGTGGATGATACAGCTGGGTGTGGATGATACAGCTGGGTGTGGATGATACAGGTGGGTGTGGAGGATACAGGTGGGTGTGGATGATGCAGGTGGGTGTGGATGATACAGCTGGGTGTGGATGATACAGCTGGGTGTGGATGATACAGCTGGGTGTGGATGATACAGGTGGGTGTGGATGATACAGCTGGGTGTGGATGATACAGGTGGGTGTGGATGATACAGCTGGGTGTGGAGGATACAGCTGGGTGTGGATGATACAGGTGGGTGTGGAGGATACAGGTGGGTGTGGATGATGCAGGTGGGTGTGGATGATACAGCTGGGTGTGGATGATACAGCTGGGTGTGGATGATACAGCTGGGTGTGGATGATACAGGTGGGTGTGGATGATACAGCTGGGTGTGGATGATACAGCTGGGTGTGGATGATACAGGTGGGTGTGGATGATACAGCTGGGTGTGGATGATACAGGTGGGTGTGGATGATACAGCTGGGTGTGGAGGATACAGCTGGGTGTGGATGATACAGGTGGGTGTGGATGATACAGCTGGGTGTGGATGATACAGCTGGGTGTGGATGATACAGGTGGGTGTGGATGATGCAGGTGGGTGTGGATGATACAGGTGGGTGTGGATGATACAGCTGGGTGTGGATGATACAGCTGGGTGTGGAGGATACAGGTGGGTGTGGATGATACAGGTGGGTGTGGAGGATACAGGTGGGTGTGGATGATACAGCTGGGTGTGGATGATACAGCTGGGTGTGGAGGATACAGCTGGGTGTGGATGATACAGGTGGGTGTGGATGATACAGCTGGGTGTGGAGGATACAGCTGGGTGTGGAGGATACAGGTGGGTGTGGATGATACAGCTGGGTGTGGATGATACAGGTGGGTGTGGATGATACAGCTGGGTGTGGATGATACAGCTGGGTGTGGATGATACAGCTGGGTGTGGATGATACAGCTGGGTGTGGATGATACAGGTGGGTGTGGAGGATACAGGTGGGTGTGGATGATACAGGTGGGTGTGGATGATACAGGTGGGTGTGGAGGATACAGCTGGGTGTGGATGATACAGCTGGGTGTGGATGATACAGGTGGGTGTGGATGATACAGCTGGGTGTGGATGATACAGCTGGGTGTGGATGATACAGGTGGGTGTGGAGGATACAGGTGGGTGTGGATGATACAGGTGGGTGTGGATGATACAGGTGGGTGTGGAGGATACAGCTGGGTGTGGATGATACAGCTGGGTGTGGATGATACAGGTGGGTGTGGATGATACAGCTGGGTGTGGATGATACAGGTGGGTGTGGATGATACAGGTGGGTGTGGAGGATACAGCTGGGTGTGGATGATACAGCTGGGTGTGGATGATACAGGTGGGTGTGGATGATACAGCTGGGTGTGGATGATACAGGTGGGTGTGGATGATACAGGTGGGTGTGGATGATACAGGTGGGTGTGGATGATACAGGTGGGTGTGGATGATACAGGTGGGTGTGGAGGATACAGCTGGGTGTGGATGATACAGGTGGGTGTGGATGATACAGGTGGGTGTGGATGATACAGGTGGGTGTGGATGATACAGGTGGGTGTGGATGATACAGGTGGGTGTGGAGGATACAAATGATTGTGGATCAATACCCTTCATGGGTCAGTGTCATGATGCCTTTATGGTAAGATCGTGATCCATGGAATCAGAGGTACCTTTCTGTACCCTGCATGAAAACCCTACGAGTTTAGCTCATCCCCATAACAATAATAATAATAATAATAATAATAATAATAATAATAATAATAATAATAATAATAATAATAATAATAATAATAATAATATTAATAATAATAATAATAATAATAATAGTAATTTTGATGTTTTAACTGAGTGTTGATGATTGTTATAACAGCGGAAGATAATGAGGTTGACTGGCTGTGTGGAGGAGCACTCATAGCAGACAGATACATCCTCACTGCTGGACACTGCGTCAGCCCAGCCTTCAACTCCAACAGAGAACTGTGAGTATACGTCCCTTGTCGTACTATCCATATGTTCACCCGTCGGCTGCGACCCACGACAGTCGGCAAACAACCCCCTTCCTTTCCCGAGTACCACTATGTCAGTAGGGTACCTATGTGCCACTATGTCAGTAGGGTACCTATGTGCCACTATGTCAGTAGGGTACCTATGTGCCACTATGCCAGTAGGGTACCTATGTACCACTATGTCAGTAGGGTACATATGTACCACTATGTCAGTAGGGTACATATGTACCACTATGTCAGTAGGGTACATATGTACCACTATGTCAGTAGGGTACCTATGTACCACTGTTAGTAGGGTACCTATGTACCACTGTGTTAGTAGGGTACCTATGTACCACTGTGTCAGTAGGGTACCTATGTACCACTATGTTAGTAGGGTACCTATATACCACTATGTCAGTAGGGTACCTATGCACCACTATGTCAGCAGGGTACCTAAGTACCTCTATGTCAGTAGGGTACCTATGTACCACTATGTCACTAGGGTACCTAAGTACCACCATGTCAGTAGGGTACCTAAGTACCACTATGTCAGTAGGGTACCTATGTACCACTATGTCAGTAGGGTACCTATGTACCACTATGTGAGGAGGGTACCTATGTAACACTATATCAGTAGGGTACCTATGTACCACTATGTCAGTAGGGTACCTATGTACCACTATGTCAGTAGGGTACCTACGTACCACTATGTCAGTAGGGTACCTATGTACCACTATGTCGGTAGGGTACCTATGTACCACTATGACAGTAAGGTGCCTAAGTACCACTATGTCAGTAGGGTACCTATGTACCACTATGTCAGTAGGGTACCTAAGTACCACTATGTCAGTAGGGTACCTATGTACCACTATGTCAGCAGGGTACCTATGTACTACTATGTCAGTAGGGTACCTATGTACCACTATGTCAGTAGGGTACCTATGTACCACTATGTCAGTAGGGTACCTATGTACCACTATGTCAGTAGGGTACCTATGTACCACTATGTCAGTAGGGTACCTATGTACCACTATGTCAGTAGGGTACCTATGTACCACTATGTCAGTAGGGTACCTATGTACCACTGTGTCAGTAGGGTACCTAAGTACCACTATGTCAGTAGGGTTCCTATGTACCACTATGTCAGTAGGGAACCTATGTACCACTATGTCAGTAGGGTACCTATGTACCACTATGTCAGTGGGGTACCTAAGTACCACTGTCAGTAGGGTACCTATGTACCACTATGTCAGTAGGGTACCTATGTACCACTGTCAGTAGGGTACCTAAGTACCACTATGTCAGTAGGGTACCTATGTACCACTATGTCAGTAGGGTACCTATGTACCACTATGTCAGTAGGGTACCTATGTACCACTATGTAAGTAGGGAGAACAGGTGTCGGGAGACTCATGCGCCGGGCAGTGAAGTCGGGGACTCGAACCCCTGTTGTTCAGGGGTGTGAGGCTGCATCTAGTGGCCACTGATGGCGACTACTTGAGTACAATTAAATAGTATGGCTGTCCCACTCTTAGATGGTGCAGAATCGAGCCTCAACCGTCACCTACCGCTTAGTGATCCACTCAGGTTTAGAGCTTTTCATATGCATAATAAAATATGATCTCTTTCACCCTCTCTCTCTCTCTCTCTCTTTATATATATATATATATATATATATATATATATATATATATATATATATATATATATATATATATATATATATATATATATATAATATATATATATGCAATAAGATCACAGTAAACAGGTGATTTCAGAATATGCAAAACAACCACTCTGAAAGAATAGAGAAATTCCAAGCGCTTTCGTGACTACTCACATTATCATGTGAGTAGTCACGAAAGCGCTTGGAATTTCTCTATTCTTTCAGAGTGGTTGTTTTGCATATATATATATATATATATATATATATATATATATATATATATATATATATATATATATATATATTATATATATATAATATATATATATATATATATATATATATATATATATATATATATATATATATATATATATATATATATATATATATATATATACGTATAAAGATACACAACATATCCCTCCAAACTGCCAATATCCTGAACCCCTCCTTCACTAAATATTACCCTGCTCACACTCCAACAGATCGTCAGGCCCCAAATACCATTCATCTCTATTCACTCCTATCGAACACGCTCACGCACGCCTGCTTGAAGTCCAAGCCCCTCGACCACAAAACCTCCCTTAACCCTTCCTTCCAACCTTTTCGAGGACGACCCCTACCCCACCTTCCTTCCCCGACAGATTTATACGCTCTCCATGTCATTTTACTTTGATCCATTCTCTCCAAATGACCAAACCACCTCAACAACCCCTCTTCAGCCCTGTGACTAATATTTTTATTAACTCCACACCTTCTCCTAATTTTCACACTTCGAATTTTCTGCTTAATATATACACCACACATTGCCCTTAGACAGGACATCTCCACTGCCTCCAATCGCCTCCTCGCTGCTGCATTCACAACCCAAGCTTCACACCCATGTAAGAGTGTTGGTACTACTATACTTTCATACATTCCCTTTTTTGCCTCCAAAGATAACGTTTTTTTTTGTCTCCACATATACCTCAACTCACCACTCACCTTTTTTCCTCATCATTTCTATGATTAACCTCATCCTTCATAAATCCATCCGCCGACACGTCAACTCCCAAGCATCTAAAAACATTCACTTCTTCCATACTCCTCCCCAATTTTATATCCAATTTTTCTTTATCTAAATCATGTGATACCCTCATCACCTTACTCTTTTCTATGTTCACTTTCAACTTTCTACCTTTACACACACTCCCAAACTCGTCCACTAACCTTTGCAATTTTTTTTAGAATCTCCCATAAGCACAGTATCATCAGCAAAAAGCAACTGTGTCAATTCCCATTTTTAATTTGATTCCCCATAATTTAATCCCACCCCTCTCCCGAACACCCTAGCATTTACTTCTTTTACAACCCCATCTATAAATATATTAAACAACCATGGTGGCATTACACAGCCCTGTCTAAGACCTACTTTTACTGGGAAGTAGTCTCCCTCTCTTCTACACACCCTAACTTGGGGCTCACTATCCTCATAAAAACTCTTTACAGCATTTAGTAACTTACCACATATTCCATATATTTGCAACATCTGCCACATTGCTTCCCTATCCACTCTATTATATGCCTTTTCTAAATCCATAAATGCAATAAAAACTTCCCTACCTTTATCTAAATACTGTTCACATATATGCTTCAATGTAAACACTTGATCTATACATCCCCTACCCACTCTAAAACCTCCTTGCTCATCTACAATCCTACATTCTGTCTTACCTCTAATTCTTTCAATAATAACCCTACCGTACACTTTTCCTGGAATACTCAGTAAACTTATTCCTTTATAATTTTTACAATCTCTTTTGTCCCCCTTCCCTTTATATAAAGGGACTATACATGCTCTCCGCCAATCCCAAGGTACCTTCCCCTCTTTCATACATTTATTAAACAAAAATACCAACCACTCCAACACAATGCCCCCCCCCCTGCTTTTAACATTTCTGTCATGATCCCGTCAGCTCCAGCTGCTTTACCCCCTTTCATTCTGCGTAATGCCTCACGCACCTCCCCCACACTCACATCCTGTTCTTCTTCACTCCTAAAAGATGATATACCTCCCTGGCCAGTGCACGAAATTACCGCCTCCCTTTCTTCGTCGACATTTAAAAGTTCCTCAGTATATATATATATATATATATATATATATATATATATATATATATATATATATATATATATATATATATATATATACGTGTATATATATATATATATATATATATATATATATATATATATATATATATATATATATATATATATATATATATATATATATATATATATATGTCGTGCCGAATATGTAAAACTGGTCAATTAGCAAGAACTCATTTAAAATTAAATATATTTTTTTCATTAATGTTAATGTAAAAAAATTTAATTTTGCACCAAAAGAATCTTAGAAAACTTACCTAACCTTATTATAACAAGAGCAATTTATTTTAGCCTAACCCAACTAAATATATTTTAGATTTGTTTACAATAATTTAATAATAAACATACACAGTGAAATATATTTTTTTCCTTATGTTCAGAATGATTTTGGCGACATTATTGCATATACAATTTTTCACTTGTCCTATATGGCAAGATGAGCGTTGCTATTTAAGCCAAGATCGCAAGTTCTGCCTATTCGGCACTACATATATATATATATATATATATATATATATATATATATATATATATATATATATATATATATATAGATATATATATATATATGTGTGTGTGTGTGTGTGTGTGTGTGTGTGTCTGTGTGTCTGTGTGTCTGTGTCTGTGTGTGTGTGTGTGTGTGTGTGTGTTGTGTTGCCGAATAGGTAAAACTTGAGATTTTGGCTTAAATAGCAATGCTCTTCTTGCCGAATATTGCAAGCGAAAATTTGTGCATGGAATAATTTCGCAAAAATCATTCTGAACCTAACGAGAAAAATATATTTCATTGTGTTTGTTTATTATTAAATTATTGTAAACTTATCTGAAATATATTTAGTTGGATTAGGCTAAATTAAATTGCGCTTGTTATAATAATGTTAAGTAAGTTTTCTAAGGTTCTTTTGGTACAAAATTATTAATTTTTACATTAAATGAAAAAATATATATCTTTAATCGTCTAATGGATTTATGGAAAAAATATGCACCTAAGAATGAAGGAAAATTGCAGTATGCCTAGTGGTCCATTCTAGGCAGTTCTAACTCACAGCCACCCACACCCATTCGCGTACCCGTCCAACATGTGGTTTAACTGCGTGAAGTTCGCGCCTCGATGACGCTTCCTGGGAGTTCATTCCACTCACTTACAACTCTGTTGCAAAGCAGCACT